AAGCTCACAAAAAAAGATGTCGCCTGTTCACTCAGATTTTAATTAACTACCATTTTAGTTTCCAGTTTTCTAATCAGACAAACGTGTGACATTCTTAATTTGGAGTGCAGGGTTTTCAGCAATTAAGCAGCGAAATGATTATTCTCTTGCCTTAGAAATAATCTTTTACGACTTGCACTGAAAGAAGGCAGAAAAGAATAATTAATTGAAGAAAGTCTCTAAGAACTGTTTTGTCATTTAATTTAGATTCAGTTTCGGGATGAAAGGAAAAAATCTGCTATTTGCCTACTGACATGGTATATGTGAAATTTAAGGTAGAAAAACTTCAGGCCACATTTGTTTTTTACAAAGACATAGAAAAATAATACTGATGTTTTAATTTTTTGTCCCTTCCAAAACTTACTTTTCGCTTGAATAAAATAGAACGAAAAGAAAACTTTATTTCTTGGTAAGCGCCAAAACTTTTGCTCTAGGATTAAAAACACAGACCTTTCCTTTGTCTGGTAACATTTTACAAATGACCATATTTCTTCTAAAAATTTAATACGTTATAGCACATATGATGAAAATTCATAATAAAGCTTTAAAGTAATTACTCATAAATATAAAATTGCATTTAAATACAGAAGCTGTTTATATATTTTTAGAACGACTTCAATAAAGAATTTTAACAAAACAAGCATTTTGGAATACAAATTTTTGGCAATAGATTATTATTTGAAATACGAAATATTTTCTGCTACTTTTAAATTTATTCTTCTTTCAAAATGTGGCATGTTAACATGATGTAGATTGAAGTATATGATTTTGCTCTTTCCGCAGATAAATATCCCTATTCCATAATTTAAAAATGTTATGAAATATATGTTACTAAATTTATGAGTGCAACATTACTAACATTATTAATCGATATGGGGAAAACCGTCAAGCATTGCTTCTACATGGAAAGAAGGCTTCAAACGTATGCCCGAAAGGAGTAAGTACTGTTTCTAACATTTCTCAACTTAAATCATTGGTAACAAAAGAAAAAGCGCCAAATCAGGAATTAATTACAATATATGTAGCACAATCATGGGTTTACTTAAATCTCCCACCCCAAAAAAAGGTCTATTTATAGCCGGAAACGAAGAGAAAAAATGTACAAACCTGATTCCGTCAATGCAAAGAAAGTTTTATTAAAAAGTTTATGATTGTTGCATGATTCTCTTACAATAAGAAATTAAAAGTAAGAAGCGTAGAAAAAGTATTAAAATCGACTCAACATACTATCAAGAAAACATTCCACGTTCGATATTTACAGGTGACAGGTGACGGAGGACGGGGATGCGCCTGGTGTTAACAGAGGTAAACTTTGCATATTATGAAATTAAACTTTTTTATTTATGCATATATCAAACTTTTAGTTTAAAAATGTATATGTATGTTGATATTTCCATGTAATGTTTCTTAATAATATTGTACAATAGTTTGTAATACTTTATTATATGTAAAAATTTAACTTCAACATTATTCTTAATAGTATATTTTTAATAATTTAGAGTCAGTTTAATTTTAATAATTAATATTTTGGTGTTTTCTAATTATGATATTATGTAATAATGTAAAAAAAAGAATATTATATAGTAGCAATTGAATCATATTGATGGAAAGCTGTTATCATGTACACAACAGCCATTATGTATATTGTTAAAGATTTTTGTTACTACAAGTCTTTTGTACTTTGAACTCTGTAGCTATCATAGTCCATGAAAGCTCTATACTCAAAAATCACTCTGCAAAAATTACTCTGTATATGCATCAAATGTCGAATGTAATTATGTGAAAAGATGTATACTGACTGTAACTGACATTTTATGTAAAATTTGAAATAAATGCTGTTGGACTGTCAGCCCCTACCTTGGTGGGTGGAGGCTTCTGGTAGTAGATATCTCCACTGAGCTGATTTATTCCGTTTGGCATTTCGCCTAAGGTTGGAAGTCAGCTCAGTGGCTCAAATAAACAAATATATATACCGATAGTTTATTAACTTTAGAGGCATTGTGTTGCCGAAATATAGAAATTAACTGATATTAAATATAAAAGAACTTCATTTTGCACTTCTGAGAAAATATACAATTAATCTGAACTCAATTAAATCAAATTCGGGTTTTGTTAGAAATGAGAGGGTGGACGCATTAGCCAAAGTGGCTATTACACAACATTGGAATAATTGAGATGCAGGGATTGAAGAGGAAGGCCGCGATCCTTATGAAGAATTATACCAACAAATTATAGAAAGAGAAATGTTTTCTTTCTTTTCGCCATCGACGGAACAGCTGGCCCACTGGGTTAGGTGCTTTTCAGCCTGTTGGATCCCGTCGATGGAATTTAAAATAAATGCATAAATAAATATAATTTAAAGTGTTTCGTACTGTGTCCTCCTGCAACTGACCACGCTAAACGAGAAACATTGAAATAAGGACTAGAACATGGAAGAAAGTGACAGGGGATTCCTGAGACTAAGAGGAACACTTATTATGTAACATGTTAGGCATATAGTTATACAGTTATGGTACATGTTAGGCATACACTATTATGGTACATGTTAGACATAAACTATTATGGTACATGTTAGGCATACAGTTATATTAAAGAAATTGCTATATAATCAGGTACAGAAGTAAAGATGAAAAAATATATTACAAATTGTGGAATATATTAAAATAATTCTGGATAATTCATAAAATTAAATACAATTAAAAACAAAACAAAGCAAAACAAAAAAAACAAGACATTAAGTAAATTAATATATGTACAGAGCTGGCTGCTGACGGCATGGTGTCCAAGGAAAGTCACTCCAGGCTGTCAGCGATACTTTTAGCAATGGTAGTGCAGTCTTTAATGCGGGAGAAATGTTTGATAAAAATAAGTTTATGAGATCTACAACAACAATAAAAAAAGTTTAATAACATAGATTTAAATCAAATTTTAAAGTATCATGGCCGTTATACTACGTACTTTAAAAGATCTAATCTTCAAACCTCCGACCTCTGCGTCAGATGTATTCAAATCGTATATGCTAAATATTTGGAGGAGACCTGTCCACTTTTAAAATATATAAGGAAAGATTTTATCATAATTGGAATTTTTAACTTGGAATTGATTTCATCAAATTTTGATAAGACTAGAAAACTATCAATAAAGATTATGAATTATATCAATAATAATCGATCAACTGTCAGAATTCTACTTTAGTGTATGTGCTGAGGTTTACGCCTATAACTGGGACAGCCTAGTTAAGCCATGGGGCCCCTAGTGGTCAGGTGAGTAGGCTGTTCCTCGCAAAAAAATAAACAAACAGATATTGCATATAGCTTACGTATTCCTGCAAAATTCCCTAATGTTTCACCTATGAAAATGAGCTCTTCAAAACGCAAACCCACCATGTATGATGGACTCTCGAAAGTAATAGAAGAGGAATCAAAATCAATACCCCCTGGAAATTTTACGAAAAGTCTTTCTAGCATAGAAATCACAATGCAAACTTATAGTTCAGGAAAGTCTATCCGAGTGGACATTTAACAGAATAATCCTTACATTTTAAACATTAATCAGATTAATTTTAATTATTTTAAACATTACATTGTAAACAGCCCTAAATCGCTTTACAAATTTGCAAACACACCTACTGTACGTATTTTATTTTATTTGGATAATATGCTTGAAACTTCTCATGATGAAATTTGTATATCTTAAACATGTTCTTTGCATGTTTCCGTATGGTATGAAATCTTTAATTAATAATTAATATTTATTGATATGTTGTTAAAGCCAGCTTAGTCGAGACTGGGTTGACCATTTACTGTCTGAGAAAAAAATTTAAGTTTCATTTTTGAGGAACTATGGAAAAATTGCTTTCACTTACCGCCAATATGCCAGTTTGATTCATGTAAATCGTTGCATTTTATGACACCTTTTTCGGTATTTAAAAATGGTTAAACGCATTGATTGGTAATTTTGAGAATGAACTGAATGAATAGCATACTTTATCTTGACACTGTTATCAAATTTGTAAATTAATAACACCATTAATCAAAATTATAATTAAAATTGAATAAACTGAGCCCAGTGACGTTGTTCTTTAAAGCCATTTATAAATTAATTTCTTCATTTTTTATGTTTAAATTTTTCGTATTTGGAAAGCGTTAATTTTTAATACAAAAATCTTAAAAAGGATGTCACTCTGCCCTAGCTGAATCTTAAAAATTTCACTTTTGTCAGTACTCTCTTCCATAGGTTTAATAATTTTAAAATCAGAGATAAGATCTTTTCTGACACCAATCTATATGCCGCTATATATTTCAATGTATTTTGGAAGCAAGTACAATGTATATCTTAAACATGGATAGAATGTCATAGAATCCTCATTCAGATTAGCCTCCATGATTGCAAAAATATCGATATTTTTCTTTTGTATAGATCACTGGATCTGGATCTCCTTGGACTGGCAAGGACCAGCGCGTTCCACTGTTTGAACTTAAAAGTTTCATGGACGAAGAGTAGGAAGGCTGCATGCCAAAACACAATCACTTAGCCGCAAAGCGTTTCCAGGATACACCACGAGCAGGTATATTTACGTCGCACCCCTACCATTACAAATTTGCAAAGGCATTCACTTTTTTTTTCTGATTCTCAAGCAGCCATTCAATCAATTATCTCTTTCGAACACCCATTAAAACATGAAATTTTGCAATGTCAAGAACTCCTGAGAACTCTCACTTTAGAGAGAAAGCAAATCGTTCTCCAGTGGATGCCTGCCCATTGTGGCCTTGGGTTCAATGAACAAGCAGACTTCCTTTCAAATCGAGGTGTCAGCTTACCACAACATCATAATACAGCCATTTCGTTTTGAAGGAATAAACTGTTTTTAAAAAAATTATTTACGTCTAATATCTTACGAGATCTTCAGACTCGTACAGCCTTAAAATGTTGGAGAATGATAATTCCTTTTCTTATTCCAGATAGTCTAAGGCGCAAAGCAGTTGCGGCATTTCGTCTGTCTACAGAATATGATTGCATTCTCACCTACCTGCTACATAGAGGCATTTCAAGAGATCCTCTTCGCCCACTTTGTCATTCTGGAGAAGAAATGGACAGAGACCACTTGCTTCGATGTTGGGCTCTTCGTGGTCTTACAGAAGACTCGAGATACTGGGAGTCACGAATGCTCTTTAGGCAATGACTTCGGTCTTTTTGTTCTTAATTCTATTGTTTGTAACCTTTGTTTATACAATTTTAGTAACTTTTTGGCTAGCCATTGGAAATAAGAAAAAAATTAATACAGATTTAATGTACGTAATTAAGTGAATTTATTATATATTAAATTGTCCGCGTTTAATAATTTATATTAAATATATGTATGTAATAATTTATATTAACTTTAGTTAAATTAGCTGTCTTATGGAAGAGAAATAACCTGTGTTAATTACAGCACGGGTTATTTCTCTTTTCTGTGTTTTTTAATTCCACTTGCATTAAATGTGGCTTTTAATTATCTTTGGACGTTATCTCCATTACTATTTGTGTAAATCAGAAAATATCAGCAAGTCTCAAAATCATTTGAGGGATTCAAATATTCTTCCTTTAAGTTGCACAGGCATTCTGCTACAATAAAAATTAGTTTCCCAGTAATATGCCGTCATGCTTAATAAATCCAAAAAACCATTATTTTCTTTTCTGTGCTCCATCCCGATGGAAAAGTAGTCAAGCTTTATGGCCGTTTTCCTGATTTTTCTCTGAGTACTGTAAATAAAAGCCATTTCCTTTAGTCATTCACGAATACTTCTCTTCCCAGATATATTATTCCTGCGTGCTTCATTGTAGTTAAATCTCGAACCGGTGAAGAAGTACATTAAGGTCTTAAATAACTGAAGCAAGGAATATGATACCGTTTTTGATCATTAGAAAAGAAAACTAGAAAACTTCATAAGATATGAATAAAGAAGGAAAAGATACTACAATGTGACAATGTCATTACGTTCTTCTGAAAAGCGGCAATTTACGTAGCGGAAAACAAACTACTTCTCTCAAGCAAATAACAAACATGTTAAAATTTGACAGACTTTTGAAACATTGGGTAATCTATCATTTCTAACGCAAAATCAGTGAGAAACTTCAACAAGTTAAAGGCTTTCTCAAATCTCGTAATAAATTGCGGACTTAGTTTCGCAAAGATCGTAAGTTACTTTAAAATGAAACTCAAGTTTCCCTAATTACCGCTTGTCCGCAAAATAAACTTAAGATAGATGCGTGACACAACAGATTACACTTTTGACCTAATGTTCGCAAAGAATGCCCTTTAAAATATAATTCTTTACTCATTCTTTCTCTGCATAAGGAAATGTCATTAAAATCATTATTTGTTTTCATATAATATAATAATACCTCGATCCTGAAATGTGTCCTCATGTGTCGTCCTCATCCTTTCATTTTGAGCTCGAATGAAGCTTTGTATTAAATAACGTTATTTTTTTTTTTAGATTCTATCGCTCACAAAATTATAGTTTTCCTGCAGTAATCAATAATAAATTCCATTTTCAGGGCAGCATATCTCACATATATTGCTTGAAAAAAGAAAAAAATTTGAATATGAAAAAAGAAAAAAATTGAAGAGAAGCATGTATTGCATGCATACGTATTCATAATGGATTGAATGCCCACAGAACCGATGATAGCTTGATAACATTTTATTTTCACAAAAAGAAAACACTTCACGTTTGGAAACGGTCAGGATTCAGTTCTAAAACTTTCTTCTGGAAATTGGTCGAGCACCTCTTCACGGTATAACATAGCACAATTACTTCAAACTACAAACGCAATGCAAAGTGCAGCTAAAGAGAGATGCTTGCATTGCGATCTCAGTACTCCGAAGACAACTAAAACCTGAGGACCGATGTATCTCCTACCTTATATTATTCCCTCCCCTTCCCGGCCACAGACAAATCTCAGTAAAATAACTTTCATTTCTCGAAATATATAGAAGACATATACGGTTAAACTTACATATAAGAGCTGCATACGGTTAGAGTTACATGTAGGGATCAAATACAGTTGTTCAGTTACAGTACCAAGTACAGTTATAAAGCACAGTACCAAGTACAGTTATAAAGCACAGTACCAAGTACAGTTACAAAGCAGACCTAATTTCGTCCGGTCACTGAATAATTGTACTTGGTCCGAGACGTATATACTGTAACTCTATCTGGCAGTATTACTGTAGCTGAGTATGCATTCCAGCAACTTCGAGAAATTGAAAGTACTGGATATTTCTTCGGGCCAGGCGAAAACCATATAAGATCGGAGAGAACATCGGTTTTCAGTTTTTAGTTCAGGTTTTAGAGTATTGAGAGGTTTCTGTGCAAGTTTCGCTGTTTGGATGCATTTCGCATTGAGTTGTGTTTGATGTTCTTATTAGTTTAAAGCAATGACTACTAACTGCACTCTAAGTGGCGTTGCCTCAGTTGCGAGAAGTTTTTTACTGTGGCTTTTCACCAAAACCCAGAGTCTTTCATTGTTAAGAGCATACGCATTATGATAATAAGGACACAGTAACTTTGTAACTCTCCTCCTGCTTGTTATTCTGTAAAAAGGAAGTTCCAAATTTTAATATTCTTTTAAAATATCAGAGAAAAACAGAGACATGGCAGATAACTTTAAATGATTTTTTAAATGAAAGCTAAACTGGAGTTTTGGGAATCTGTTTTACGTAAATCCAAATGGAAGATTTTTTGAGTGTGTTGTGACTCTACGCTTGTCCGTTATTCGCACTAAATCGTACTGTTACTAAATGTACTAAATCGTACTGTTAGCTGAAATTTTTGTTAATGGAAACTGGTCGGAGGGAAAAATATCGCTTATTTCTGTTAATTTCAGGAATGACTTCATTCCTGTTAATTCAAGAATTATTAAATAACTGTGAAGAAAATGAAAGAACAAAGATTTACTAAAACGTTATCAAAGATCTTTCCAAAACACATTTAATAAATTAATTGGCCGAGTCTTCCCGTTTTCTTTGGGAATAAGTATAACTCTACTAATTTTCCAGGGCACGGGGAAGGATTTTTATCTTAAATGCACTATTATACATGGCGAGAAAGAAATAAGGGTACAATTCAAACAATGTCTTCACCAAGACCGCATTTCTTAAATCTGACCTGGTGAACTTTTATTTCTTAAACGATTTATGACCCAGGTCAGTTCCTCCAATGTAAATTCAGGATCTTCTTCTCAACATAAAAATAGCTTGTTCCTCTCCAACTCGAGATTTCCCTTCACACCATGATCTAGTACCTTTCTTATAAGCTTAATGTCCATATCCCTTTTTTCCATCTCACCCTCCACATCTCGTTTCCTAACTGTACAAGTCCTTTTCAACTTATTCATAGCAACTTCATAATAACCTTCATAATAATTCTTATTATTCAAAAATATATTTTCCTTGCCTAATATCTTGTCTTTTTAATTAAGCGTTTGTATAGAGTCAAATGTCTTTTATATTTGGTTCTTCTCCTCATTTCTTCATCTTTCCGAATTCCCTTTACTTAGGATCTTTTCCTAATAGCTCGTAGTCTACAACGACTTCTTTCCAAAAAAGGAATCCACCAGCATATATCTTGCTGTTTCTTCTGTTTAACACATAGTCTTTTATAGGCTCCTTTTCTTAGAACACCCACAAAATCCATTATAAGTTTTCATATTCCAAACCATCATTAATTGCCTGAAGTCGTTTACAAAAACAGTTCAATCTTCCTTTTTAGACTTCGGCTAAATCTTTCAATCTTCTGACAATTCCTTGTAAGTCTTAGAATCATATTTTCCACAAAACCGAACTCATCACCATAGGATACATATATCTATGATCATTAAAAGTATCTTCTTCCAGTCCTTTCAAATCAGTATTATTGTAATGCAAAACCTGGTGAAGCTACTACCAGGTCTGTCCATCCACAGCCATTTGTTGGCATAAGGGTAGGGAGAGAATCCTCAGTATTTAATGCATACATATTATTTGATGCACCAAAATTATATACCAATAGCCTTCCTTTCCTTCCTTCCACCGACAGCGAGGCAGCCGGTCCACTGGGTAGTTAGCATATCGGCCAGGTAGCCCCGCTGACGGAAATAACTTGATCAAAAAAACACACTTATAAATACATATTGTTGATCAAGACGACTGCTGGGGGCAGTGCAAACAAATGCTGGACGAAGACGATAGTGCAGTGATGGAAGAAGGGTGCATTGCGGGTGAGAAGAACAATTTCAGTTACGTATTTACAGAGTTATGGATAGGTGGTTACAAATACTAAAAGTAATAAGAAGCAAAATACTAAAAGTGAAATAATACATAAAATAAAAAAAGGCAAAACAGTGAAAACAATACATAAAATAAGGCAAAATACATAATTCAAGGTTCATAATTCAAGGTTTGCAGTTTTAAGGAGATAAATATATACAGGGAATAAGAAAAGCCGAATAAGCTAACTTAAGATAAAATTAGTTCATTGCAGGTACAGAGCATACAGGGGCTGTGCTGGTGACGAGGATGGTAGCTGAGAATTACTTTAGCCTGTCTGAGATTTTGCTTGCAATATTTATGCAATCGCATATGCGTTTCAATGCATTGAGATTTTTCGAAGTAGCTTCGGCCGATGCATGGATGTGGTTTGCTACTGGTTGCCTAAGATGATATTTGGCGGTCTCTCTGCAAGCGAACAGATAGTGGTCCGGATCTCCTACCATCCCGCATGAGCAATGCTCGTTTTCGCGTCGTCTGAAGCGATGCAGGTAAGTCATGAAGGGACCATGTCCTGTTAGATATTGCGTGAAGTGAGACGATCCAGTTTTTAGAAGACGGCAGACTTTTGGAAAAAATCTCTAAACACTCCTGCCGGTATACTAATAGCCCTTGGCATCAATTTCCTGGAGTTCTCAACTGGTGTGGGTGTTAAAACAATTGTAAATCGGTATCAGTGTTATATTGAAATCTCGCCAAAATATGGCCAATATATGGATACTGAAATATGGCCAATATATTGCCAATTGCCCCTGGCATCATTTCCTGGAGCTACCCAAATGGTGTGGGCGTTAAAAACAATTTTGAAATCGGTATAAGTGGCAGATTGAAATCGATATAATTGGAATATTAAAATCTCCAAAGATAAAAAAATTGTCAAAGGTTTTACA